AGAGAGAGAGAGAGAGAGAGAGAGAGAGAGAGAGAGAGAGAGAGAGAGAGAGAGAGAGGGAGATAGATAGATAGATAGTTAGATAGATAGATAGATAGATAGATAGATAGAGAGAGAGAGAGAGATGCCTACACCATGAATGCATCACCCATGATATCTGTTTTTGTGAGCGAAGCCGCAGCAGGTCATCCAGTCATATTGAAAGCCAGATAGTCGTGAGCTGCCCAGAAAGCAGACATGCACTAATATCACACCAAAGGAGAACCAAAGCAGCGAGAACTCAATTGTCAATGGAAGCATTTTCGAGCCACCACCAACAACGTATCCAAAGCTCTTCCTCCTGATTGGCTCTCAGCGCCCAGACTACAAACATACAGCTCCTACTCTAGTCTACACTAGTGACGAAGCAACCAGTTGACGTAAGCAGCAGCAACCAAAATACATGCAGACCCCCACAGCGACCAGGTACGTGTGCTCTCACATCCTCTTCCCACTCGCCCTCTCAATGTTCACCCTTGTCTTCTCCCCCACTCTCCTTCACCAACCAAGGACCACCACCAAACTCCGCTGACCTCCCTCACGCCCAAGCCCAGCTATGGCTGGCTTGGCGTAGCACTGCTACCATGTATATATATATTCTTCACCGAGAATCCATGCAGCACTATCCCACCTGCCCCTGCATGCGCCCCCGTACACTCCCCTGCCAGTGGCCACAAGCGCTCATTACATCAGCGCTGCCGCATTGCACACTAGTGCATAAACCCCTTCAGGCTGCCTGGACTGAGAGGCCTGTGTACCCAGTAGCTTCACGTTGGGTCAAAGTGTCTGCGCCCAGGCCCGTTAAGACAGTGGCCCGACCCGCAGCAGTTAAGCGCGCCCAACCGCCTTTCATGCCCTGAGGTGTTCTCCCTGCTTCCATGTCAATGCAAGAAGAGCCTAGAAGGCTCACGGAGAATTCCAATGCTCGCGGGCCGGGCTCAAGTAACCAATTTGCGCGTGATAACTGTCTGGCGCCCACCAGGGCCTGCAATTTGAAATTTTGCAATATTCAGGCCTCATTGAGATGGAGGGTCACGCCTTCACTTGGGGCTATTGAGATGGAGGCTCCCGCCTTCACAACGGAAATGAATTGGAGCCTTTTTTTGGAGGTCCATTCATGTTCAGAACACCGCAGTGTCTCCGACAACCCTTGACATTGCTTCTATATTAATAATATTATAGTTCTGCTCTCTGCATCAACACCTACGTGTACCACTGGAGTAACAGCCAGGTAGATGCTCCATTTACTGTGCTTTCGAGTCAGGTAGTTCATCTTTGCATCTTTCATTCAATACACCCATGCGGCAAATGGTGAAACAGTTTTGACCTTTGGCAGTAGCCGATGCAGATCCCAGGGGTCGATCCTTTGACCTCAGCTTACCTGTGTAAGCTTGAGCTTGCTTGGAAAGATCATCATAAACTACTAACGTATGACGTCCTTTATACATGAAATATTCTGCAAGGGAAGCTCCAGTATAAGGTGCAAGGTATTGTAATGTAGCAGGAGAATTAGCAGTTTCTGCTACTACTATGGTA